GCAATTAGTGAGCAACTGCAGCTACAGAGAGCCTTCAGAAACAGCAAACCCAGGTGGAAGGTGTGAGCCCACCCCGAGTACAGCTCCCCCCTGCACTCTCAGACTGGCTCTGGCCACCAGTGACACCCACAGTGACCTCAGTTTCCTAATTGCTTGCAATGTGTTTGAAAGCCATTGGAAGAACTCTGGAGACTTTTTTTTTTGGCTTTTCATTAACTTGTGAGATCAATACCTTCTCCCTCTGTACATAGAGAATAAAAGGAACAAATTAGGACAAACTAAACCAGCTTTGAAACATTCTTGGGATTTTCCCAGCCTTGATATGTACCACGTTATATCTGTTTTGGGACAGACTCTGTCATTTCTCTGTCATTTAATTTACTCCCCTTTTGACTAAAGGTAGCCATTAGAAAGAAGAGTCAGGATTTTGGTACCATAACCCACCTTAGTATTGACAACTATAAAAATCTATCCAAACACTATTATAGACAGTTTGCCCAGGCATCTGCCTCAGTTGAAGTCACCAAGTGTGCAGCAAGAGTAAAATGATTCATTTTTCTTCAGCAATCAATGAAATTTTCAAGCAATGATACTGTTTTCTGTTACTATGAAATTTCAAGACGACTGCCTGGTTAGAAATTATAAAAATATCAACATTAGGAAAGGTAGATGTATTAAATGTGCCTTTCTCCAAGGGTTATCAAGAGCTAACAAGGAACTTATTCAATAGAGGCCCTAACATGTACTCTGGCAGATCCTTCAATTCTTTCCAGTCTTCTTTATATACATACTTCTCTCATTCAAAAGTTTATTCACAAATTTTGTGAGTTCATAACTAATATTCTTCCAGGTGGCATTTGTCAACACATCTCAGAGCACTAAACTGCTACAAGATCTGTTTCACCATTTGTGGTTAGGAATGCCTTATGCCAAATACCTCAAAAATGCCCATATCAAACGTAGAAATTTATTTAATATGCAGCTGAGGTTTTTTCACTTCATATCGAAACAAGTTACTTTTGCAAAACAAACACAAAATTATTTTTCCTTGATGTTCAGCTGGTAGCCAGAATTAAAAGAGCATTTGGATTGTTTGCTGAAAGGTGTCTGCAGACTTTGGTCCAGTACCCATATCATGAGCCTGGTGTCCCACTGCAAGTGTTCCTCAGATGTCACCTGGAGCTTTGCATGCTTCTCAAGTCCACAAGCCCTTCAGGTCCCTGTGCAGGTACATGAATAATATTTCCAAGCAGGACACATCAATTCAGCAATCAAACCTTCAGTTTAAACAGGCTTCTTCTCTGGATACAGAAGGCTCTGGATACTCTCATTCTGTTTATTCTGCCATGCCTTGAACTGAATTCCTTGCCATTTCACGGGCATTACTAAAGATTTGTTTTACATGATCAGGAAATAAGTTTTTAAATATGTGTTATGCATTAAATATCACATATATTCAGCAGGAAAGGAAAAACATTTCTGGATTAGAGTAATTTTACAGACTCTGGTTTCTAATAAATTTTCACAGCTACCCTAAACAACATTTCCAAGTTCCAGTTTATTGTCAAGCTTGTGCACAACATCCCTCAGTGATGTGTCAAATCTTTACCAAGGCAGCTGAACTCCTAAAACTCTCCTCATTGGCAGGAAACTTGTCAGATTAAATTGCTGCCTCTTGTCAGGTAAAGATGTATGATCTGATAACCCCCTGCTGCTGATGACACAAACAGTCCTTTCACTTTGGATGTATTATGAATCTCTAGTGTTTCTTACTGTAAGCAGAGATGTATCTTGTGGTGAGAGGAAACAATCCTTGCTGACCACTTCCATCATGGTTTATTATAAATATAGACACAGGAGCACAAAACTCCTAAATTTTTTAAATTGTTTTGCTTGGTTTTCGCTTTTTTTTCCAGGGTATTTGTTTATCTGTCTAGAGAATCAAAAAATAAAAGTATTTTTATTGTCTCTTGTGTTTTAAGTACTGTTTCCATAGAGTTGTCCAGATGCACATTTACTATTTCAAAAGCTTGAGCAGGGAATTTGGACCCTTCCAGCCTTACCCATTCTGTGATTACTGTGCACTCCTGCTCTCTTTACTACACCCTGGAAGCAATATTTTGCTAGAAAGAATTACCTGTTCCTTTTGTGGATCCTTGATTACACCCAAGATCTGAGGAACAAAATAAAGAGTCAAGCATCCTAAGCTTTTTTGGTATTTATATTGAAGTATTACCTTTATCAGCATTTTTCAAATAATTACAATTCCAAATCCCGCTGCTGACTTACTCAAAACAATCACAGAACTCTGGCACATGGGGTATTCCAAACAACTTCTCCAAACTTGGAGGAAAAATAAAACCAACTAAACCCAAACAAATTATTTCTGACATATCTGCACAACAAAGTTTTGCTAGACTCCTTAAGCTTAAATGCTAAGTTTAGCATTTCCACTTCTCACCCTGCAAATTCCCTGTTCTTTAGAAATGTAAAATAAGTTTCAGAACTTATTTTTTTTATCAAAAGAAGAAAGCAATAGCTCTATCTACTGGGGAGAGAAATCATTCTTTTCCTCAATTTGCAGTTTCCCAGTTATGAACTGGAAGTTCCAGGCAAAGTAACTTAGGGCTTTTTAGACTAGAGACACAGAACTTAACTTCCCAAACTATAACAGTGCAGCACAACAGAAGGTGGCACAAAAGTTTGATTCAACAGTTTAAACCAGAAATTCCTAATAGCAGGCAGAAACTTTTCCCAAGTCCTCTGAAGCACTAGTGCTGATTAGTACTGTATTTCCTCACCTGCTTGCAGGAACACAGATTGCTTACTCCATTCTCATCACAAACTGAAATGGCTCCAAGCAGTGCCTGGGAGCATAATTAAAAAAAGTTGTGCCCCAGAGAAAGCTGCCGAGAAGCCTGAGCTAACTGAGAAATGCACTCACAGCTTTTCCAGCTGACAGCCAGGGAGGAGCTGCATAGCAAGTTCAATAGACATCAGATGTAAGGTAATGCTGGAAATTTTCTGGTGTTCTACAAAATTCTGCAAGCTTCCCAAAGACAGCTGAATGGAGGTTCAAACTGCCAAAAATCAACACAAAATAGGTAAGAATCTAAAAATGGTAAGAATAGGTATAAAGAAGCTTTTAGAAATGGTAGAATTGGTGAATAAAATAATCCAAACTTCTTCACTGAAATCTTAAATGACTAAAAAATGTTCAAAAACGGATGCTTTTTTTACCCCCTTTTATGTCTTACATAAAATGGACTCTTTCCACTAACCTTTTTTATGATCCTAGACCCTAATTTAGATAATTCCATTATCATCTTCAAAGAAGAAAGATATATTAGGAAAATGAAGCTATAGACTAATGTTACCTTATTAAAATCCTATTTACATAGAATTAACATAAATACAAGTTGGTAAACCATATGCTATCGCATCTGTTCCTCTGTGTATTAATAACAAGACTGTCCCCTATAGGGCTCTCAAATTAATATGCATTAGAATATATTACAAAGTATTTTGATTCTCTTGACAATATAATTTGCAGCTAGATTATTTGTAAGCTTCTAGCTTGGAATTATTGCTGTTGCACTATACATCAGCTGTTTCTTCTACTGTGATTAAAGTATAACACCTGTCTCTTCTAGTATTATGACTTTATGGAATGGTGCCAATTTTCAAATGTTCAGCTCCTTACAATTCAAGTATTTTCAGTTTGAATGTGTCAGAAGATTTAAGTCCTTTACCAATTATATCATCATTTAGGAACTTTCTTTTTCAGCTTCCAGGACACTTAATATATGACAAATGCCAGCAGCATTAGGTTAGGAAAGAACACTTGCATAAAATAAAGAAAAAGAGCTTTAAATATGAAGCTTAATAGATAAAAATTACATTTCAGCCACCAAGCATTCTATATATATATATATATGCTTGCATTTCCAATGAAATTAACACATGCCTCCCTGTGCTGAAAAAAGCATGTGCTTGTATTTGCTCTTGAAGACTATGAAGAATATTTTGGGAAATCAGCAAAGTCCATTATGCACTACTGGTTTTATAATTTTTTTTTTTTTTTTCATATGTTGTATGACAAAAAAAAAAATCAAAAAAAATCTGTCTTTTCTTCAGGTCAGCTACAAGATTAAGTAACTAAAAAGTTTTAAAAGCTAAATGCCAAAAAAAAAAAAATACAGAGAGATATTTAAAACTATTAAAGTCTCTCCTTCACAGGGGAGAGATGGCCACCAAGAGCAACCTGCCAAAATCTGCTCTCAGACTATGACTCTAAAACAAAAAAAGGCTACAACTCCTCCCATGCTTTCCAACCTCAGGGTCTCTATTTCAGTGTTGGTCCTTGAATACCTCACTCATACACCAGGAACTACCAAAACCATGAATAAAACTGCCCAGACCTGCAGCAAAAGGAGGCTGTGGACACTCACGTCCCTCAGCAGGGGCTGGGAGATGCTGATCATCCTCCCATAGCTCAGCTGTCCACACACACACAGCTCCCTTGCAGACCTTGAAACCAGAGGTTAAAAACCAAACCAGCACAGGAAAATGCCCACTTTCCTCTTGAAAGCCCCTTTTAAACCAAACCAAATACAAACACATCAACTAAAACCATTGGGTTTTGTCTTTTTTTGCTTTATGTGAGCCAAGGAGAGCTCAGAAAGCCTCTCCCCTGATGTGGCTCCAGCAGTCCCACGCTGTTCCACAATACTCCTCACTAAGTGCCTCACAAGGGGCAGAATGTTCTGACTGGCCCAAGCCATGGGCTTGAGGAGCTACTGCTGGTGGCCACTTCCAGAAAGAGGAATTCTGTGGGGCAGAAAAGACCAGAACAAGGCCACACAACCAAGCTTCTCCTCCACCTGCTGCCCTCACTTCCTGAGGAGGGCTGGCAAACAGAACCACAATTAATACTCGTCACCTGAGGGCAAAACCCCGATTATTTCCCCTCTATCCAGCTGTAAGAGCTTAACTCAGGACCCCTGTGACTGCATCCTAATGAGCCTTGAGCCACCTGCCTCACACACCTCTGGCTTCTTTGTCTTCCCCTTCAGGTGAGAACTTCTGTGGTTTGTTCTGGTTGTTTCTGAAGCAGTCCAACAAAGTATTGCTGCACGTTTCTTCTATGTGGATAATCTCATACCTCAAGTTCAGAACTTCTGAGAAAATGTATATATTCATAAATCAGAATCATATTTCATTGCTGGGCTACTTGAGAGATTTCTAGAATATTTTCCTAGAAGCTTAAAGTCACCCAGGGTTTTTTTGGCTGTGAAATGCTCCCAATCAAGACCCATAGCTCTTATTTTAGGTGTGCAGTGCTGTATGGATAACATCTCTTTCCACAGCTGGAGAAACTGAGGCTAGAGAACGTGGGAGGAGTGGCACCCCCAGTCAGAAAGAGTCACCTCATCCTCAGCAAGGAACCCTGGGGACACACTACCTTCACCATCCAGGCTGCTGAACATCCCAGGAACATTTTAAGATAGCTGGTGACTGACCCAGAAGTACAGAAGTATTTACATTGTTGTTACTTTTATACACTTGGACCATCATTTGCTTTTCCATATCTCATAGCTGAGTTTGTATTAATGCCTCAATGCCTCAAGACTGACAGCATGATGGGTAAAGGACTTCAGATGTGAATTAATAATAGATTCTGCCTTAATATTCATGATGTAATACTGAAAAGTATGCCTGAGTTTTCAAAAACTGTAGAGGAAATACACTGTATAGAAAATTTTACCAGAAGTTTGTTCTTACTGCACAGGTTTACTTTCACAGTTCTGGGAGCCCAACACATTATGTTTGAATTTTCAGGTTCTGGTAAGAGTGGGAAATATCCAATATGGCATTCTCTATCCACAGAACAAGGAGAAACATGAATTAAACCATCTTTCCTCCTAGTGCATTTTTTCCTGCAGCTGTGTTCTGTGCAGGCTGTGCCAGGCTCTGGCTCAGGAGCCAAGTGACAGCCAAGGCCGTGCTCTGTCCCAGCACTGTCACAGGAACCCTGCCCCTTGTCAGAAGTCACACAAAGCTGCTACAGAACACGCGAGTCCAGGTTATGGACTCACATGTTAGGCATGAATGGCACCTTTTCTGGGATCAGAGGAGATTTAGAGTGCAAAAAAGAAAGATAAAACTGAACAGTCTGCAGCTTGTTCCCCACTGGGTCCTCTTCTCCAAGACTGAAACCACGTTGCTTTTGTTTTCATGCTTAAACAATCTTCTTCCTGGCACTCCAGTAAAAGATGCAGTGATGCACTGCAGGAGACAGTGTGGGCTGTGTCATCTGCTGGGATGAAAAACAGCCTTAAGAACAACAGATCATCAGCAATTTTCACTGGTTTTAGGTAACAGAGCAGGAATTACAATATTCAAAAAGCAAATCAGTTGAGCAGTAGAGGGATGGAAGCCATGCAGGCAGGGCTATAGTTGGTTTTTAGTTTTGGCCTGCAACTACCAAATTTTTCTGCTTTATTATACACATTGTGCAAGGCTGCAGTATGGATCAGATTGCTGCTTAAGGTATTACAGAAATATGTGAGCTTTATCATCATGCCTGCAAAATTTCCTTCAGTTCTGCATATTCATTAATTGCTTGAGCTGTCATGGTCTTAAGTTCTGAAGTGTTTCATTAATTTCCAGCCTAGACACAAATATAATGATTTTTCCAGCCAGAGACAAATAGATTGGATCAAGAGTAATCCTACTGAGCTTTGAGTTCCTAAGTAGTGATCACAAAGGGTCTCTCAGTTATAGAACAGTGACCCTTTTGAATAGTATTCACATATAATTAATATAAGCATGTCTTAATAAACCATATGCTCACTCAGCTGTTCTTTGCTGTATTAATAACAAGGCTGTCCCCTAAGGGACTCCAAAATGAATGTATATTAGACATATGTATCCTAATAACCAGAAGGAATCACAGTTGTACTTGTCTTACTTTAGATAAGTATTTAATACAGCATTATTTTAATGATTTTAAGGAAACATATGTCCTTGTCAGCTCAAAAATGCAGTTTATATGACTCAAGCTAAATACTGGGATAAAAAACTTTACAAATGCCATTCCTTCCCATTTTACATTAATAACTAATGGGGTTGATAATAATGTGTATCTAATAATCTAACACTCTTTAAAAGAAAAGGGAAGTGACTATAAGGCAAAGCACAACATAAGAAAACCTCTGAATATATCATATAATTTCTGGTCTCATTTGCTGCTGCTCATTACTTTATGACACATACTATAACTAATGCTCTTCACAGTATTAAAGTAGGCAAACCTATTTAAATAAAATAATCACCACTATCTCACACAAGAGTTCAGCTAGGAGTGATCTGAAATTTCCAGCCACATTTGTTTTCTTATCTGATTTATCACATGCAATTTATTTAATGATATCCTAGCTCCCCCACACTTTTGAAAGTAAAAGTGGCAAAATGAAATTCCAATCAAAATCCTAGTGAGAAGACATCTCTGAGTAAGAAAATAGAAAAATATTAACTGGAAGAAGAATTCTTGCCTATGCCACTCACTTTCCAATGGAAAGCCTGATCACTGATTTTTTTTGTCTTTTCTAGAATGTTTCTCATAAGAAGCTTTGACAGAACAGACTGATCTTGCTGTGAATATGAATTATTAAAATGTGAGCATGTCTTTGTTTAATAGGAGAGAGCACAATGGCATAGGAGGGCCAGGAAGAGTCTTGGAGGGCTGGAGCACCTCTCCAACGAAGACAGGCTGAGGGAGCTGGGGCTGCTCTGCCCGGACAAGGCTGTGGGGAGACCTCAGAGCCCCTTCCAGTGCCTAAAGAGGCTCAAAGAGAGCTGGGAAGGGACTTTGGACAAGGGTCTGGAGTGACAGGACAAGGGGAATAGCATCCCACTGCCAGAGGGCAGGGTTAGACAGGATATTAGGAAAAAATTCTTAATAACTGGGAGGTTAGTGAGACACTGGCACAGGCTGCCCAGAGAAGTTGTGGATTCCTTATCCCTGGAAGTGTTCAAGGCCAGGATGGGACTCTGTGGGTTTTCTTATGATTGGATGAATAATTAATGAATAACTTTTTCTTGCACTGTTAATTAATGCTATTTGTCACCTCCCATGTTCACTTTCATCCTGTGCCACTTTTAAGTACAGACAGAAGAGTATTTTTACTTTTTTTTTGGGGGGTGGAGGCAGAGAGGGTCTTTTCTGATGTGTGTAATGACCAGAGGTACCCTGAGCAATGGGGAAACCATATGAGAGTTGGAGGCACCCCAAATAACACACTCATGTTGGATGAAATTTGCAATTATCATTCCACCACTACTACAGCTCTGCAAAATAGATACAGCTCACAGAATAGCTCAAAGTTACAGCTCCACTTTTCTGAGCAGATGTGATCCCCACCTCACAAGATCCTCAGGTAGTTAACAATACACTTGTCATTTTGAATTGGATAAAAAGCAGCTGTTCTTTAAGCTCTCATTTCAAAGAAAATACATACTGTTCTGCAACAAATGGCAATTAGCTGTCAAAAGGGGAATATTGAGAGCAGTTCTCCAGATAAAATGCTTTTGTTTATCATTAATTTATAACAATGCATCACAAACTTGAGGAGTAGATGCAAGAGTCGTAGAATAATGAAGCCTGAATATTTTGATCAAAACAACTACAGCAGGTTCAACATCTCCACTGGGCTAAGCTAGCTGAATTGAAATGTCTGGTCTCAATTGCTTGTTGCAGTGTTGTGCTTTCACCAGCTGACATGAGGAAACTTCTTTTCCTGACAAAAGACAAAACATTTCTGCCAGCTGAGGTGACATTGTGTTCATTCAATAATGATACAAGGCCCTGAGGTTCTTCAGCAAGAAAGATAACAAAGAGAATCCTCATTAACTAACTGCAGAAGAATGAAGGTCAACCCACAGAGAGAATTTCATGCTTACATGTCAGTTAGAACATTTGTTCTTCATTAATTCTTTAAACCCAAGCTGGGATATCATCTAGCAGCATTTTAATGTCCTGCACTCCATCAGAAATAACTCCTAGGATGTGGGTTTCTTTGCACTGTGCTTAAGAGGCTTTTTTTAGAAGCACTTCACATCATTGGGCACTAACAATGTTTTAGGATTATTACAAGACTGGATGTAATACAGGAAATAACAGTTTGGATATTTCAAGATGAAATAAATGAGGATGGACATAATACACTCCAAGAAACTCACTATCTGGACATATAAAAATACCATCACTATTTTTATGTTTGTGCCCTACTTCATTATTCTTGTATTTTTAAGTGTTTTCGGGGAGATTTGGACATATGTGTAATTAAGCACTGAAAAATGATAGCCACACCTTTTTTTCTTAGACTTTACAAAAAAAAAAAAAAAAATAAATCCATGTGTTGTGAAATAAGATTCCACGTTTTTCTCTCCCTGTGATGGCCACAAAATAAATCTCCCAAGCCAATAGCTTTCTGGTCCTGCATGTTTATTTTTCCTAAGTACAGATCTGTTCCCATAGAAGTAATATAAATATAAAATATAAACCACATTTTATATGTGTATATATATATGTGTGTGTGTACATCTCTCTTTATATATATTTATATATATATTTATATGTATATATATCTCTATTTTTAATGGATATCTTTTTGAAGACTTAGTTTTTCTTATGATTAGAATTTGAGGGCATTCTGCATAAAATAGAATGGTAAATGTGGAACTAGGGAAGATTTCTTGAGCACAAGCAGGGACCTTCATCTGGTCCTGTTCAAATTTCCCGAAGGTTCCACCAGCACAGCAGCTCTGCCAAGCCACAATGCACAACTGAAGGGAGGCAGCTGCAGAATTCCCATACTTTCCATGCCATCAGTCCTGGTAACCTCCATGTACAAGACAGGAACATCCTAAATATTTGCAGCTCCTCTTTTACCTCTCTGTATGCCATATGACTATTGTGCTTTCAGGTTTATTTTAACTGACATGTTGCAATTAGAAATATCAAAGATATCAGAGAGAATCGGGAGAAGAAACGCTGGAGAGTTACTGCTCCAAACAGAGAGGCTTATGCTTGTATCAAGTTTGTTATAAAGCAGTTTCTTTATAAACCCAAATGGTTTGTCCTCAGTGTCTCATATTATTCCTTTCATTGGTCATCTCTGGATTCTTGTCAGAAAAAGAAGATAGATGATGGAGAGGTGACTGACAAGCAAGAATATTTTAACAGAGTGTCCTTTTACTGTTTCTTCCAAAGCCTCAGTGAGTTATCCTGTCTCCCTTTTAGCCAATGCCAACCTGATATCACTCTATTATGAACATTGTGCAAATAGAGAATTACATTATATTTATATAATAAGTATATTATTTTATAACACTGTGAATTATTTTAGGAATGCTGTGCACTCTTCTTTTAGCAGACTTTTGTTGATTTGTTTCAGGTTTAATCTGCAGATGCCCTTAGACTCCTAAATCAGCACAGAACCCCAGTGTTCTCTGAAGGCAGAAGGCAGCCTGTGTCAGGGAAATCTGGCTGACCAGAATGCTGTCTAACCTAACACTGAGACAAAAGCACATGATTCCTTGCCTACATTTTCAAATTAGAACCTGGCAATAGTAAATGTTGTCATAGAAAAACAAAGAAATAAAATTCTAAAATACTAAAACACTAAGGCACCTGAAGCAAAACAGCCTCCAATTTAATTCAACTCTGCAGCTGTAATCCAAAGGAGTAGTGAAGCAAAG